TGTGTGTGTGTGTGTGTGTGTGTGTGTGTGTGTGTGTGTGTGTGTGTTTAGTTTGCTAGGATACCCTGATGAATTAGAGGATATTGCTGCAGAGCATGCTCCTTATGTCCCAAAGTGAAGGAGACCCTAACTTTTCTATGAGTCCAGCTCTGAAGTTCCCTGTGGTGCTACAGCCTAGCAGATCTGCTTCAAAAGGAAGGGAGAAGGCGAGGTGCAGGGCAAAGTTGAATCCCCGACCAGCAAATCTTCTAGCATGTATGCTTTGTGCTAAATTATAGAAATGAACAATTCTGTGGAATTTCTGGTTCAGTACTTAGAAAGAAAACCCTCTTCTGTATTTGGAATCTGTCTGTTTTGTTCTTTTATTTTTTTATTCCTCTCTACCCTCTTCCATTACGTTAATTTTTGTTTTCTTGTTTGGTTAACTGAAAAAAATATTGTGTTTCCTGGAAAACAGTGTACATACTCAACAAAAAAAGCAAGATCAAAAAGAATGTACATGCTTTTCAACTCAACCAAAATTTCCCATAATTGGAAAATTTTTATTTTCAGCATATATATATATATATATATATATATATATATATATATATACACACACACACACACACACATCCCATAGTTCTGTGAGAGAAGTTATCCTGAGATGAGAATTAATTATACTGCTTTTTGTAAATGATTCAACTGAGGTTTAAACAAAAGGAGAAACAGTAGGAGGAGGAGTTAGTGTATAAAATGAAAACTATTTTGTGCATTGGTATATTTTTCCTGCAATATTATAAACTCATTCATGAGTTTTAGACCCCTGTAATAGATTCTTTAGAACTGTGTATGTAGATATATCCATGTAGTCACACCATCATAACTTTTATCTCTTCTTAAGACGTTTGACTGTGATTTCTTTTTCTTGTGCTTTTGTCCTGGACAAGACCCCCAGAGTCACACTAGAACTGTGTGAGCAGACATCCTTCCCTTGTTCTCGGTCACTGGGGAAAAGCATTCATGCTGGCTCAATTTTTGTTTTGGGGTAACGTAGGCACCTGTCTTAATTAGAGATTGTACTGCTTGGAGGAAACACCATGACCAAAGTAATTTGGGAAGGAGGGTGTTTATTATAGCAGTGTTCATCACTGAAGGAAATCAGGCCAGGAATTCACACAGGGCAGGAACCTAGAGTCAGGAACTGGTACTGAGGCTGTTGAGGGGTGCTGCTTACTAACTTGCTCCTAGCAGTTTGTTCATACTGCTTCTTATAGAAGAATGGAAGACCATCCCAGGGATGATGTCACGCATGATGTCCTGGGTTCTTCCACACCAATCACCAGAAAATGTAGTACTGTCTTGCCTACAACCCAATGTTATGGAGATATTTTATTAATTCAGGTTCCCTACTCTCAAATGAATTTACCTTGGTCAACTTGACACAATCCTATCCAGTACAAACCTTTTATCAGGTTAGAGAACTTCCTTCAATTCTTAATGTGTTCAGAGTTGTTATTTTGGATTTACCTTGAATTTTGAACATGCTTTTGCTGATTTTAATGAAATGTTTGTTTTATTTTTTCTGGTAATATATTGAATTATATATCATTAGGTGGTTTTTTAGAGTGAATGAGTGAATTATCTAGTTAGCTACATTCATGGATAGATAGAACAGGGTATGATATAGTTCCCTCAGCCTCTTATTCAATATTTAGTCAAGATTGGCCTTGAACTCCTGACTTTCATGTACTAGTAACCACAGTCCTGGCACATTGATTTTTTTTCTCTTTATTATTATCATGGTTTCCTCAATCCTAACCAGGTCTATTCCTATGGAACCAGATTTATAGATAATTTTGTTGTTGTTTGATTTTCACTCTTTCTGTTTCTTGCTCTTTCATTGGCCCTTAGTTCAATAACTGGAAGATTCTACGACAGAATTTCTGTCTCCCTTTCCTCTAATGTTCTGTGAACCAAGGACATCATTTATAGACTAAAAACTTCTGTGAAGGGCTTTGCACTAGGGAAGTACAAGCCAAATCTGCACATGACTCTGAGGTAAATGTATATTTTTCTATAAAAAATTTTTAAAATTTGACATTAACACATTTATATTTCCAGGTATAAAACTCCAAGCAAAATTTCTCAGAATTGTCTCTTCTGAGTCTCGTGTTAGGCTTTACTGCTGCTATGGAGTGATCATGGTCCTCACTGTAGCTGTAGCTGCTCTTTCTGCTGCTTTGTCAGGTAAGTGACTCACTCTCCAAATTCTGTGGCATTCTGTCCACATTCACTTTGTCAGTTATACTACTGACCTCTGTGACCCAGACACTGTGGGAAGGGCTCTAGAGAAAATACACTGGAAGTTCTTGTTCTCTGGGAGCTGAGGTTCCAGCAGGAAGATGCAGTGAAGGAACACACAGGCAGTGGTGTGCACAGGAGACCAGGCTCAGCATCCCTGGGAAAATGACATTCAGCAAGCTCTAGACAGAGATGCAGGGGATATATGTCCACCTGGGGAAACTTTCCAAGACAGAGAGTAAGAAGAGGAAATCTGAATGTAGGAACTTCAAGGAGTGGGAACCCAAAACTGCAGCTAAAGGGAAGTGAGGACACTGAGCAATCATATGGTAGGGAAAGGTACAGAACCCATGACTCATGGTTAGAAAGTTCTAGAATATGATTTCTAAGGAATAAGTTGTAGACTGTTTTGAATAATGTGAGGAAATCTTATATAATTTTGCTGACATAGCTGGAGTAAGAGTTCCATGATCTTGTTGAATACCATGGTGTTTGGAGACATGGTTTCTCTAGCTGCTCTGAAACTCACTATTTACACCAAGCTGGTTGAACAGAATTTGGAAATCAGCCTACCTCTGCCTCCCAAGTGCTGCGATTAAAGATGGGTACCACCAATGCCTGAATCATTTTATGTAATCAACGTTAACTGAATCAGCGACTAATATACAAGTCTGAACAGGTTAAACATTTGCCAACAAGTCTTAGTGTATCCCAAACTATTATATAACCCTAAAAAGAGTCAGATAAAAGAAATGCTGTCATCCTCACTGCCCCTTGCATTTGTCCCTTTAACTAGAACCTTGTGGTAATTAGTATGATATCTGGGAACAACTATAACACAGTCCCACTAAAAATATTTAGGGGATCATTTTCCCTATTTAATATTTTGCTTCAAAGATCACTTGTTTCTAGAAATTTAGTAGAGATTTAAAAGAGCAGCGGATACATTCTGATATGTTATAGGAAGGAAAAGGAGAAGGTAGGGGAGAAATTTATCCATTATTTTTCTAAGATGTCATCTGAAACCTTGCTGCATTCAGAATTTCTTACACACACACACACACACACACCACCAACACTACCACCACTACCACCACCAACAACAACAACAACAAAAACCACAACAACATATGCTCACACGCTGGCACAATTGCACACACACACACATACACAGACACACACACATACACACAATACTTTATTATAATAGACTCACAGCTGAACACATCACACAGCTCCATTAACATAGTCACTCAAATACTTGCCAAGACCCAAACCTTCGTATCTTGCTAACTTCCTCATGGTTAGAATAGCCATTCTGAAGCCAGGAAGCTTTGCTTACACTTTAGACTTTCACTGTCAGTCACATTTTTATGCACTCCTCTGCCACAAAAAAGAAAATCTATGGCAGAGTTGAAACTAGAAGCACAATTCTGTTTTAAAACTTTTCACAACTTGTAGCCCATTACCTACATCCTGTCATTCCTGTCACTTTATATCACTCTTCCTTCTCCCCTCTGTATGGTATTGCATGACTACCCACACAGCTGCTCACACTGTCCCCTATAGGCTGGGACTGCATGTGAAGGCTTCCAATGGGCTTGTTTCTTGGAATTTGGATGACCTTCCTTAGTATTATACTTTGTAGGTCCCCCCTCTTTCCTACAAATTTCACTAACTGCTAAATGAAACATTCTGGTTTGTACCTGCAACACATTTACATTATCTGTCAGTTGGGGAGCATCTGGGTCAGGTCTGTATCCTTGCTATTGTAGATAGGGGAGCAATAAACACAGATGTGCAAGTATCTCTGTGGTAGGATGTGGAGTTCTCTTTATATAAGCCCAGGAGTATCACAGCTGGGTCACATGCCAGGTCTATGATTAAGTTTTCTGAGAACTCTCCATATGAACTGTATCAGCTTGTACTTCCACCAGTAGTAAATAAGTGTCCCTGTTCCTTAACATGCTGCTAAACAGGCTGTGTTTTGCCTGCCTCTGCCCCTGCCCCTGCCCCTGCCCCTGCCCCTGCCCCTGCCTCTGCCTCTGTTTCCTGATTACTAGGATTAAAGGCATATGCCACCACTATCCAACATGGTTGTCAAATTTCTTCATGATAGCCAATCTGAGTCTCTATAATAAGAACCAGCATATGTTTGCATATATATATATATATATATATATATATATATGTATATGTATATGTATATGTATATGTATATAAAGAGAAAGAGAGACACAGAGACACACAGAGAGAGACAGAGAGACAGAGAGAGACAGAAGTATAGGACGTTTATGATCAAAATGTTGATATCAAAAATACTTTGACCCTGCCATGTTTTGTATGCTGCCATTTCTCTACAGTAAAATCCAGAGAAGTAGGAGTTTCTTTTCTTTTGTTAGAGAAAAGGAGAATGTGAAGGAGGATTATGGGAAAGCATGCTGTAGGATTCTAGGAATCAGGGACAGTCCTAAGGACCTGATGGCCTAGAAATGAGTTTCTCACAGGGTATGGTATCTTGTTCCCAGTACTCAGGAAGAACAGCCAGGAGGATTATTACAATCTCCAGACAAGTTCAGCCCACATTGTGAGATCAAAGCCAGGCAGCAGGACATAGCTAAGTTCTGTCCCAAAACATACAATACAAAGAAGAAAAGTAAAACTATTTCCTTAGAGCTCCACTGGAAGGCTCTGGATTGGGGACCTTCATGGTAGGAGGGGCCTCCTAGTGATCAGTTAAGAAAGCTATTGTCCAAGCACACACTTCACAACTGAAGTCTGGATGGCTAGAAAAAGGAACCAGACATAGAAATGTTTCTTTATTACATTTTATATCACTGTCTGCATTTTAGTGAGAAATGAAAACCCAGTCATGGAGAGCTGTGAATCTTGCTATGCCACATGCCCAAGTGGCTGGATTGGATTTGGAAGTAAATGCTTTTATTTTTCTGAAGACATAGGAAACTGGACATTCAGCCAGTCCTCCTGCATGGCACTAGATGCCCATCTAGCTCTGTTTGACAGCCAGGAGGAGCTGGTAAGTAAGGGGATCAGTAATGGGTTTGTTGTTTTTGTCACATATATACTGCCTTGAGATGGAGATCTTGGGGCTAAAGCATGGGGAAGGATCTCATTCAGGCAGATCAGGTATATGTGGAGAACAGTAGTTTGTGCCATTTCCTGAGGTTATTGCTTCTGGCTTGAGCCCTAAGCTTTGGCAGAGATCTATTCTCATGCAGTGCTCATAATAAGACCTTTCAGACCAGATATACAATCTCCAGAGACACCTGGTGGTCATGCAAGCTTTTCTCCAAGCATTCACATGTTGCACACTGAATGTGGCATCTATTCAAAATGGCAAGGACATCATGAATCAAAGACTGTCCAAGACACACGGGATGGGTAATAATCAATGTATTTTGGGTTATGGGTGTAAAATGCTTACATTGAAAACTGAGGGTTATTATGGTTCCAAAGGTGATGACCCTCAGTTACAAGATGCTGCCATCCTGAGAGGAGGCTCTTGAATGGAGACTCATGTGAAACTGAGAGATATGTGTGTTTGCTTTACCTGTGTTATGACAGAATTTTCTGAAGAGATACAAGGGGCCTTCTGACCACTGGATTGGCCTGCACAGAGAGTCAACAGAGCACCCTTGGATGTGGACAGACAACACTGAGTATAACCACTTGTACGTCCTCAGGAATATTTCCCTTATACTGTGTTCATTTTCTCTGAAATGTGTGCATTGTATCTGTAAGAGATGCAAACACCACAACATCACAAACTTAAGATTTTTGGATGTCATCTCATTTATTGGCCATCTTTTATCATATTTACTTAGGGTAATTTCACTCAAAAATCAATACCATAATATCAGCCCCTGGGGGAGATGTTGTCTGCTCCATCACCAACTGACAATTTTCTTTGCTGGTGTCAGAACTATAGATGGGAAGTAGGGGCTCCAAAGCCCAGGAAGCCAGTACAGAACTATATGGGTAAGATGTGTTGGTCCTCTTTTTGCACTGTACCTGTTTACAGAAGCAGAGACTTTAGGGATATTGGTAATCTTTCTAATGCATCCTTGTTATAAAGCCCAGAGACAGCTCTTGTGTGTGAGCATAGCCATCCGTTTTGAACAGAGCCATTTCATTCGAATGGTAAACCATAGACACAGTCAACATCCATCAAGAAATTTACCAAGAAATTTACTAAGAAGTGGGGTTTCCCCCACTTGATGTGTAAATTACATCAAGAACTGAAAATCATCCTCAGTGTGGTCACCTGAAACAGCAGTTTGTTTGAACATGAGAGTAAGCACCAGTCTATTCCATTGTATGCACATTCCAGGGTTCAGCATAAATGAGTGACAAAGATATGGTGTTCAAATTGAGCCCTGAGGATGAAAACAATGCTAGGTGTAAAACTACTGCAAGTGTTTGAATGCAGTGTCAGCCTGTGCAGTAATTATTGTTTGTTCTTTGCTTTAGGATTCTCACCCGAGGAGGAGGAGGAGAATGTGCCTATTTGAGTGACAGGGGCATCCGCAGCAGTAGGGGGTACACACATAAGAAATGGATCTGTAACAAGCCCAACAGCTACACCTTACAGTGCCCACTAGTTGTAAAGCCAGGGTAGGGAATGTGCCAAAGCATGCGTGAGAACAGATGCTCTGTGACCTGCTATCTACAGTTGCTGCTCTACTCCTGACCTACCAAAACCATTATCGAAATCCATCAATGATCACATTGACAGCCAAGATGAAAATTTGGTTAGAGGATAATAGATATACGGCATAGAATTTGGAGAGATGATTCTAAATCAAATAAGTGTTTGGGTATAAGTTAGTATTCATATGTAAAACTAAAGTATAAACAGATCTGAATTAGTGAGCTTCATTTCATGATCAGGTATGAACTTTTTTTATTTGTCCTTGCAATGAATTCAGGGGACCTAAAAATGTGGGGTAACTGAACCCACGGAAATGATTCTGTAATCACAGGACAGATGATAATTGGCTTATGGCCTCCAAACATAATTATTGTAAATATAGTCAGCATTCTCTTAAATGATGTAATGACCAGTCTGAAGGCAAATCTAAACAGGATTGAAAGCAATGCTGCACACTGAGATTTAATAGCATTGTCAAATATTTTTATACTTTACTTCTCAGATTTTTTAAAATTGAAACAGACTAAGAATATGTTACAAACAAATGTCATTTTATTTGCCAAATTTAAGATTTTTGAGAACTTCATACATGACTACACCATTTGAATTTTATTCTTTAATAGGTTCTTTTCAGATCAGGAGACAGTTGATTACTGACCCCTTCAAAGCATTTAATGCCTAATCTTGCAATCATTTTCACATTGTTAAATTTAAAGACAAAGTATTTTAAACTTTTGCATCATGTGCTATACTGTACTGATGAGTCCCAAAAAGGACGAAATAACAGGTCACAAGCAGTTTCTCTGTTAACTCTTTCTTTTTACTTTATATATGGATTAAACCTTCTCACGCATGCTAGGCAAACACTGTAGTACTGACACTTACCACTATCCCTTTTTGTAAAATTCATTTCATAACAGGGTCATTCTGTAACCCCCAGATGACTGATACCACCATATAGCCTTGCTCTCTATTAAAGTATTAGTTCAGGGACAGGAATATGACTTCGATGGTTAAAGGCACCGACTACTGAGACTGAGTTCAACACCTGGATCCACATGTTGGAAGCCTAAAACTATCCACAGCAAGTTGTCTGTGAACTTCAAACCTGCACTGTACACATTCACACACACACACACACACACACACACACACACAAATATATATATATATTGAAATGAAATTAAAAATATTTAAAGTTCTTTTTTGTAGTAGACTGTGTTTATTTTTGAATCTGTATTTTTATTATTGTTTTGTTGTTCTTCTTCTTCTTTGGTTTTTTTGACACAGAATTTCTCTGTGCATTCTTGGCTGCCTTGAGCCCTGCTTTCCTTTGTACACCAGGTTGGTCTTGAAGTCAGAGATCTATCTGCCTGTCTCCCTAGTTCTGAATTAATAGGTATGTACTTCCACCACTGGGCTTACCCTGCTCATTCTTAGATTAATACAAGCATATCTCATTCAAAAGAAATACTTTTCTCAGTATTCTATTCCTACTGCATTTAGGTCTTTCTGCTTTGTAGACCATCTTATTCTAGCAAACTAATAATAAAAATTTTGTGTGTGATTCACTTCTGCATTCTCAGAGAACAGTACAGTGTGTCAAACACAGGAGTGTTTAAACCTTGTATGTAAGGAAGGTATGTTTTTGTGACAGTCACTGTAGGATTCCATGTTGGATTATATACATTATCAGTTACCAAGAAGATACTTTCTTACAAAAAAAAAACTAATGACTTTATATAATTTAACTGTGTATGGTTGTTGTTTGACAGACTTTCCTGGGCATATACAACACACAAATCTTCTCCCTCCAGAGAGGGAGCCCATGACAGACCAAATAACAGATACCATCAAAATCCAACATGGTAAACCGATAAGTTTTACTGGTGTTACTTATACGAATTTAGGTGGGATGTTATTCACAAGATCAGAATCGATTCAAAAAGGCATATGTATCATTTAAGCCCACCTCAGCATAGGAGCTCACAAAAGCTGGAACTCTGGGACACAATGCATAGCCTGCAGTGTGCTAGAGAGTTCCTATCTTAGTTAACTAAGATATTACATATTGCTGTGAAGAGACACAATGACAAAGGCAACTTATACTTACTGGGAGTTTGCTTAAATTTTTAGATAATGTGTCGATGACCACCATGGTGAGGAGCATGGTAGGACGCAGGCAGGTATCCTGTTGGAAGAGTGGGTGACATACTGAGACAACAACCACAAGATATACAGAGGGTAAACTGGGGATGCTGTGGCATTTTAGAAACCCAACCCCAGTGACATAACTCAATAAGACCACACCTCCTTCAACAAGGCCACACCTCTTAATTTTCCCTAACAGTCTCACCTATTGTGGACACAAGCATTCAAATTCATAAGCCTATGGGAGTCATTCACATTCAAACCATCACTGTGTCCTTTCTTGGGGGCTCAGTTGTTCTCTGATTTTCTAGGCAGTCCTGCTGCTCTCTGCTTCTTTAAGGCATTTGAGCTTGTCTAAGAATGACTCTCAGCAGTCCTTACTTCATATACACTAATGAAGAGGAAGGGACCTAGTGAATCTGCTCAATGGCAGGGACTTTTCAAAGATATATGGAGTTGTTTGATTTCCTGTCTTCCTACTTTCTCTTCAGGATGGACTATTTCTCTGAGCACACTGTAGCACTACAATATAAATTCACAAAAGAAGTTTCACTGATGTTGTAACCCTGGCCAGTATAATATTTATGTAAAAACTGGCTTCTAAGTCAAATATCAAGAAAATATAGATTACCCTATTTGTAATCCAATAACTTGGAAATTTTTGTAGCAGCTATCACAGGGTTTCTTCATGTGTAAAATAGGTCAGTGAACACCTATAATACTGGTAGGCTTATCTATGAATATGGCTCACCAGGCTCAGTACATGCTTCCTATCCTTGTCTTTCACTACTGCGTCATGGAGATGAAAATGAAAAGAACAGCAAGAGTTTTCACTAGACTGTAACCTCCAGGTGACACTGCTGCCACCCACAGGTGACAGCTGTTCAAAGAATTTTCATGATCATAGTCACTGGGATTCATAATTAGTTGAAGAAAATGACATTTGAATCTTGCTGTTTTCATGGCTAGTGATAAATAAAATACATGCTTCTGTTATGAATGACGGTAGCATTGAGCCCTGGCACCCAGGTACTTCATGGTTACAGTGTCTCCTGTGGCCAGCATTATTTAGGTTGTTTAGCTAGATTGTTAGATTGTTTATGCATTTTTTTGTACGTGAATATGAAGTTGTAGATTGTCCTTTCAAGATCTGTGAAGAACTGTGTTGGACTTTTAACAGAGATTGCATGAAATCTGTAGATTGCTTTATGTAGGTTGGTCATTTTTAATATATTAATCTGCTGGGGGCCAGCCCTTGCATGATGGGAGGAGAAGAGATTTTCTTTCTTCTTCTCCTTGGTTCTTCTTGAGGCAGCCAGAGGGGAATGGGAATGGAAGAGTGTCAGCGGGGGTGGGGGGGTGGGGAGGTAAGACTTGATCTTTTGAGATTTGGAGTAAGGGCTTGGGCCTTATGAGATTCGTGGTAAGACTTTGGTCTTATTTAGATATTTAGGGTTGCTGTTTAATAAAATCTTACTTATCTACATTACTATGCCACTGTGACTGACCTGCTCTCTGGTATCCTCTGAAGCCAGAAACTGCAATTTCTATCACTTATCACTTCAGTCCAGAAAACAGCAGAGGATTAGGCAAATAGCCTTTGTACTCTCTCAGCAGGAGCTGCTGGGCCCTAACTGCTAGTCTGAGGTCACAGGAAGAAAAGACACTTGAAGATGTGGTTTTAGCATTTATTACTAAGTTGGTAAAAGTTTCCTATGAAAGCTACCTAAGGGGAAAAGCGGAAAGGTCCTAAGTGGGGAAAAAGAAAAACTTCTATCTGGAAAAAGGGAAAACTCTATTCTATCTCTATTCTATCTTTTATTCTAACTCTCTATTCTAACTCGATTCTATATCTAAGTCTATTCTATACCTAACTCTATACTATATTTTGCTAACTCTCTTCTCTTTGTCCTCAGTAGTTACACATCTTACAGAGTACATGGTTACATGTTACAAAGTTCATCACAAGTTCACACCAAAATTCAAATCATAAGAAAATAGATTGAAATAGTTTACAACACAGAATGTTTACATGCATATCTATTAGGAGCAATTATCTAGCTAAACATCCATCACCTGTCTAGCTCCACAGGTTCACTGAAGGTTTAAAACTATAACTAAGAAATTGGTGAAGTTTTGTATAGATAAACCCAGGCAATATTTTCTCTTCTGTCCTAGTACCTATAATAAATCATGAGTTCCCTTTTAGTGACCTTTGGTTAATTGTTTTACAACCTCTTGGAATGTACTCTGAGCAGAAAGTCTGGTTGCTATCTAAGGGCAGTTAACTGATGACACTTGGGAGACTGGCAGAGTTCTCATTGCAGTTTTGACTATCAGAAAGGGACCTAATAGCAGTCCCACTATAAAGGAGCTTAATAATCATTGATAGAGTTTTATGAATTCTTATAGGATCATCAGTAAGACTTAAGAAGTTGTCTATTTGTCTATATAGCATCACTACAAGATCATCTTCATGGATCTGCAGAGACCTGTTCCAAAGGGGTGTGCTATTGCTTAGTGATTGTTACATATGTTTAATAATAGTCATAATAGGAAAAGCATATTAATAGCAGGAATCTTTCCTAAAATAAGTCCCTCACAGCCTTACTAGATAAGGACTCGCTTGTTGCAGATTATTTAATAATCCAAGGCAAGCATTTCAGGATGATCACCTGCTAATTATTAGCTTGTCCCATTATGACTCCTGACATTAATCTTACAGATCCATGAGCATGGGAGAGCTCTCCATCTTCTAATTTAAATTTCTTCAATTTCTTTCATCAAAGACTTGAAGTTTTTAATCATACAAGTCTTTCACCTGCTTGGTTAGAGTTATTCCAAGATATTTTAAATTTATCGAGGCTATAAAAGGTGCTGTTTCTCTTATTTTTTCTTAGCCAATGTGTCAGTTGTCTACAGAAAGGCTGCTGATTTTGTGAATTAACTATGTATATGTCTACTGCTGAAAGTATTTGTCATCTGTAGGAGCTTCCCAACAGAATTTTGAGACTTGCTTATATATACTATCATGTCATCTGCAAGTGAAGGTACTTTAACTCCTTCCTTTCCAATTTGTATCCTCTTGATCTTTTTCTCTTGTCTTATAGCTCTAGCTAAGCCTTCAAGTACTGTATTGAATGGGTATGGAGGGAGTGGGAAACCTTATCTAGTTTCTGATTTTAGTGGAAATACTTTCTCTCTGTTTAGGTTGATGTTGGCAGGGGTCTGGCAGTAAACTGCCTTTATTATATTGACTTTCATCATGAAGGGATGTTGGATTTTTTTTCCAAATGTCCTTTTTTCATCTAATGAGATGATCACATGGTTTTGTCTTTTGGTCTGTTTATCTAGTAGATATCATTGATTAGATTTATATATCTTGAAGCAGTCCTGTATCTCTGATATGGCACCTGCTTGATCATGGTTGATGATCTTTTTGATTGTTCTTTCAATTCAGTTTGAGAATTTTTGCATTTATACTCATAAGAGAAATTGTCCAATAATAGTCTTTCTTTGTTGGGTGTTAGGTATCTTAGGTATCAGGATAATTGTGGTCTTGTTTGTAAAAAAAAAAAAATACAACATTTCTTCTGTTTATTTTTTATGGAAAAATTTGAGGAGTTTTGGCATTAATTCTTCTCTACAAGTTTGGTGGAATTCTGTTCTAAATCAACCTGCCTTTTTGGTTGGTAGACATTTAATTATTTCTTCTTTTTCACTAGGAATTATAGGTTTGTTTAAACGTCTGTCTGATTTTGATTAAACTTTGATAAGTGATACATGTCAACAAATTTATCCATGTCTGTTAAGTTTTTTAATCAGTTATTTTTAAAGTATGTCCTTATTAGTCCTGGATATCTTCTTTGTCTGTTGTTATATACCCATTTTGTCTCTAATTTTGCTTATTTACATCTTCTCTGGTATCTTTTAGTTAATTTGAATAAAGATTTGTGAATCTTGTTGATTTCTCAAAAAAAAACCCAACTATTTTTTTCATAGATTCTTTGAATGGCTTTTGTTTGTTTGTTTCTATTTTATTGATTTCAGCACTGAGCTTGATTGTTTCTTGCTATCTACTTGCTCAGGTGTTGTGAGCTACTCACCAGAGAAGAACTCTCAGACACAGGTTCAAACCAATAAAAAGCCTTTATTAGGCACCTGGCAACTAAGCTGCCTGTTCAGGACCCCAGTATAGTCCTGTCATTCCCAGGGTGAGCTTTTGAGCACAAAACGACATACTTGGTTGATATACCTCTTCAGCAAGAACAGTTAGCCAGAAGCAAACTACAAATTACAAAGCCAAAAACCAAGCTTAGTACATATAGAGACTTTCCTAGAACTGTAGACTTTGATGGATTAGGTTTTGGTTCTTATTTTGACAGGCAGTGCTGTCAATATGCTGGGTTCCAAAGCCTGAATGGTACTTCCATCATGGCGTCAGTTGTGCTAAGGCCTAGTGACCTACTAACCTCTGGGGGACCTGTTCTATTTCCCATTGATTCTATGGGCATGGCCAACACATGGATTCACCTTACTGAAAGAGATTATACTATCTCCTTAGCACTCGTGTTTTAACAGAATTTATTCTCTGTTTTACATAGCTAAGTAGGCAGTTGAGCAAGCAGGATCCTGTACTGAGAGCTAGGAGCAATAGAATTAATTACCTAGCCATGGCTGTAAGTAGACAGGGAAAACAAAAATTGGTACCAGTTTTTAGATTCTTAATGCCTCCTCTCTTTTTCCCTGAAGATTGTTTTTGACCATGACTAAATTTTATCTAATTATTCCTAACTGACTGGCTTAGAAGCAACAAGTTTCTCCTGGTGTCATGCAGAGGCTTCCTTGTTTCATAAAGAAGAGGTCCAATTCTCTTCAACTCTGAAGAACAACCTCAGCTAAGGAGTCTAACTGGGCTTCCAGATGGGAAGCAGAATTTTCCAAATGGCTCCGGTCTATGTCTGCAAGAACACCGAACTCCTCAGCATTTTTAAACCCCATAAAGGGGGCTGAGGTTTCAACTTCAGTGGAGCCCTCCATGCCTGCTCCAACCAACAATGGAATGAGAATGGAGACAGCTCACACCACATGGGGGATCCAGGTCCTAGATTTAGGTGGACCTTTCTCCATTGTAGATGAACACCCGTGGTTTAATATGCATGACAGAGCAAAAGGTTTTGGTTTTCCTTCAATGCAAATAATTCAGAAGTTAAGCTATTAGTGAAAGAAAGCTAGGTAGTCTCTGGGTCTGAAATACATTTGACTGCCATTCCTGGGATTATCCTGAGGTGTCTGGCTACAGTGCTCAGGTCCTGCTCAGCATTCAAGTACCAAAAGAAGGCAAGAGAGCAGCATCCACAATCAAGGCCAAAAGCTGATGACTTCCGGCAAGCTAATTCTCTCTTATTATTCAGGGGCCAAGAGGAGCAGGGGAAAAGAAACTTAGTTATGAAGCAGCAAGCACAAGGAATGCAATAGTCTACAAGCAGGTAATCTGCAAATATGTAGTATAGCTTTCAGTTTAGTATTTTTATAGGATTCCTAAGTGGGTGAATGAGTGAGTCTCTGATTCTTGTGCCTGCTGTTGGGGCTTTCTTTCTTTTGCTGGATTGTCTTGTCCAACTTCAACTTGATGGGTTTTGATTTATTTTATATTTTATCGTGCTAAGTATTAGCTTGTCCCATTATGGCTCCTGACAGTCATACTCATTGTCACAGCATTGGTCCATTATTAATGAACTAATTTGCAAGTGTCAGTCAATACAAACTCTTCCCATCTCAAGCTTCTTAACTCTGAGCCTCTGCTGTCAGTCAAGAACAAGACTTCAGTCAAGGTTTTACATCCCAAATGTGAAATGGCTCGAAGTGGGGATGGGGTCAAAATCCAGAATTTATAAACAGTTTTCTGCAGCTGTCAGCAAATGACCTCAGACACAGAGATCTGCAAGGGCCAACAAGGCCTCCAGTGCCCCCTTCTGGCCTGCACTTCCTTCTGTAAAACTCCACTCCTAGAATGTCACATCTATATCTGTGTACATTTACATTACACAAAAAAACTGAACATGAGAGTCTGTAAAATCCCAGTGGTTTTGGAGTCCATGCTCTGTGCCACTAACTATGCACTGGATGGGCCAACAGCAGACAATGTTCAGTGCAGAAAGCTAATGTGGACAGTGAAGTAAACAAGATGAGATTCACAATCAGGAGTCAGGACACAGGGTTTCAGACATGTTTCAGGGTCTTTTGGCAGATCCAATGGTTGTCTGAAGAACAGGAATCTGAAAACACTTCTGTGTGTGAGATGATGGCACAGCTGTTTTCTTCGTCTTTGCCAGTGATTTGTAATCTGGAGAACAAAGCATAGCTGCTCCTAGTGTCCAAGATTGTCTTACAATTATCACATCAGCTATTATTTTTCTTTGGATTTTTAAGGAAACTCTAGATTACATGGTGTTTATGTATAGTAAACACACAGTGACAAACGTTATAAACATACATAAACATTAAAAATACAGCAAATAGAAACCCCTATAATTTTGCATTGCACTGTCACTGGAGAAGAATTCTTCCAGCAATAATCTTTATCGTGATGTACGAAAAGGAAGTTTGGGAATTGGGGATGAAACCTACTCCATCTGCTATAAACGTATTGTGTGATTATATAGAAAGCATCTTCATTTTGCTGAACTTCAGTTTCCTAAAATATATAGGGTAGAACCAGCTAATGTTCAGGGAAGATATTGAGATATACATGAATACATGTCAACATTTACACACAGTAGGTGCTCAGCCACTGTATTTAACAAACAGAATAAACACAGTAAGTCTATAGAATTGGATGCAGAGAGGACAAGAGTTTCAACTCATGTTGAACAGGATCTGATTCCTTCCTGTGTCATCCCATAAGCTGATGCATCTTTCCTTTATTGCAGCACAAGTCTCATACCCTGGATTCCTACAGACTCCTACATGTGGGAATGAGACCAGAAGACAAACACTAACACAGGCATCTTCTGGGAGATTGCAAGGAAGGGTGAGTTCAAAACTAGCCTGTCTCTTGCAGAGGATGTAACATATCAGACAGTAGACAGAACTCCCTCACTCCTGTGCCTTTGCCTCTGTTCCTTTTTTTTAATAAAGTTCCTTGGGACTGAACAGAAAATTTGATGACACTCTAGTGTCTCCCTTTCTATCTTGTTTCTACCTGCTGTAGACTCCAGGCTCACTGGCCCGTGTTCTTCTGGATCATTGTCTGGTCTTCACCTCTCATCTCTCTGTAGGACTGCCAAGATACAGGTATTCACTTCTACATCTGGCTTTTTATATGGGTTCTGTAGAATGAGCTGTGAGGCTTAGACACCTAGAGCTTTTACCTGGAGCCATTATCTCAGTACAGTGCAAATGAAAGCAGACTTTGGCTGACTCTCTTCCTCCTATAGCACGACAGCCTCAAGATTCACCTGGTTGTTGCTGTTTGATCAGAGCATCATTTTATCCAAGGGTAAAATCACACAGCAGTTGAGTGTTATCTTCCACTTTTCATGAATTTTTCACTTATTATAATAACATTTTGTATTATGACTCAAGATTAAGTAAGTGTTTTACATCATACACAATTAAGAAACACACACAAAACAACATCAATATTTATACAGACACAAACACACACTAACAAATCAGTCATTAGTTTGTATGAAATTATTTTCAAATGTCAATGTCTATTCTGGTTCTGCCTAGAGAAGCTTGTTTCATGGCACACTGACATGCAACTTTCTGCCACAGTTCTAAAGAACTACGTAAGAATTTTTGTGTAGGGGTGGGAGCGATGGCTTAGTGGTTAAGAGTGCTTACTGCTTATGCAAAGGACATAGATTCAACTTCCAGCTCCTACAGTGCAGATCACAACCATCTGTAACTCCAGTTACAGGAAATCTGATGCCCTCGTCTTACCTTTTCGGGCTCCTGCATGTACATGGTACACATACATACATGCCAGGACACACACATAAAAAAATTAAAGAAATTCTTTGTGTGTATATTTTTTTAAAAAAAAATTTAAATCTAAGTATTTCGGATAGATATTTAAAATATTTTATCTCTAACATGGATAAGTTAATTTACTATTTATCCTTTAAAATTCCATTGTAAATAAATACACACACACATACACACACGCAAACTATTTTAAAGGGCTGATCTCTACTTCCACATGAAAATTTTCAATAATAGTTGACCTGTCTTTTCAGTCTATTCTGAACCTTTCAATTATTTATAAACTAAATTAAAATTATAAAACTTAATTTTTAGTAAAAGATATGAATTGAATTTTCAAATTAGCTCATTTAAAACTTACAGGTTACCATTTAAAATAGAGCCATTTATCCACTTCCAGATCTTCTCCTCTTGTACATAATTTAGTCCAATAAAAAATAACTGTTCTCTTCCCTTTATAAAGTTCTGCACGAATCTCTATAATCAAAACAGAGTGAAAGACTTAAACTACAGCATGTTTATTCATGACTAATTTCTTTCTATTAACCTTCTAAAACATGATTATTCCTGTTTGAAGTTCTTCCTTGCTCCCCACCAATAATTCTTTCTACATTGAGAAATTTTTCTCTATATATTTGTATTTTAATTGATTCATCTGAGTTATTAACTCATAAATCCAATTAGTCTCTCAGATTATGAACTCTTTAAAACGCAAGCCTCCAGTTCCTCAGCATAGACAATTGGTTAGAGTCCAGAGATGTTGACATAGCTTAAAGAAAAGCCTTCTGTTCTACTTAACAATATTGTTTAACAATTTACCAGTTCTTCTTTATTTTCAATGTGCAACAAAGTGGCATCTTTTATAGAGCAGGCAGCTAGACCTTCTGTCCAAGGTCTCGAAATTTGAGAAATAAATAAGCATTTGTGCCGGTGTGGATGCCAATGTCTCGGGCACTCTAGTATGGCTGATCTTCCTAGAGAAGAGAAAAGACATGTTCTATTTCTGCACCGTTTCTGCTATATCACAATCAACTAACACACAGTAAGTACCTCACTAGTGCATGTGGGTGCTGTGAGTGGCTCTGGTATTGTTTGTATTTTGATATTAATTCTGCTCCCCTTTGGACTGATTGTGGATGAAGAATGAGTCATGTACTCGGGTGACTTGTGAACCATCCCCTAATGAATAAAGGAACCAATCACTGGTCTAGTAGGAGAGACTTCTGGTAGGATAGGGAAAGAGGGAAAGAGGAGAGAGAGGATCTTTTTTGGATGGGATAGCAATAGGGCAAGATGTGGCTACTTGTGTCTCCCAGCTTACATGGCAAATTTGCTAGGATTTGCCACCAGAGGATTTAGACTTAATGTGGCTTACAAGAGTAGGACTCCAGTTATTTTGCCCAGCGATTGATATTATCATTGTTTCTGAACTAAGTTTGTATGGTGTTTTCCTTCAAGGTGCGATTCAATTAGGTCCAAGAGAGAAAGGTACAGCAGCAAAGTGTGGGTTTGTCAGATGTGCAGCCAAAGGATGTGGGAGGTTTTGAAGCATAAGGCTGACATGGTAGTGACCTGCCACTGGGAACTTAGAGAGCTGAGTTGAGAGATTTTGGAGCTCTAAGTCAGAGTCTCCACAAGATAAGAACTGGCCGGTGAGATCGCCAGGGTTGAGAGTAGCTGGGTGTAGCGTGGGAAATTGGTGTTCTTTTTTAAAACTTCCCCCAACGTATGTTGCTCATTGTGGGGCAAAAATCCACTAGAAATTTAAGATTATTAACCTGAGAGTTAGAGGCTTTTTTTTTTTTAAGTGAGTAGCTGAGTAGCTCTGAGAAGGGAACCTAGAAACTGCTCACAGGCTCTGAGGTCTCCTGCTGTGGGGAATGTAGGCTGCTCTGAGGCAGAGAGCTGTAGAATGGAAGTTGCCTACTTCTTAGGGCAGTGGTGGATTGAACTGTGAATTTATAAAATTGGATTTATTTGCTTTTAGGAAAGATTCATATGCAGATTTTGTCCAAATCACGTGGGGATTTTTGTCCATGGTTTGGAACTAGGATAGGAAAAATTACTCACTGATTCCAAGTAGAGAGGACAATGATAATTACCAGCTATAACAGGTATTGATGAATAAATGTCTGTGGCTCCAGGCAGAGACATGAACAGGTAGATGGTATAAAAAGATGGCTGCTCTAGGCAGAGAGCTGAACAGAAAGATGATATAAAGATACATTCTTCTAATATGTCTTACAGAGTACTCAAATTCTGTCTAACATGGTCTGCACAGGAATTCTGGGCTTAGCTGGGCAGTGGTGGCACATGCCTTTAATTCCAGCACTTGGGAGGCAGAGGCAGGTGGATTTCTGAGTTCGAGGCCAGCCTGGTCTACAGAGTGAGTTCCAGAACAGCCAGGACTACACAGCGAAACCCTGTCTCAAAAAAAAAAAAAAAAAAAAAAAAGGAATTCTGGGTTTAAATCCTGCTTTGACTAGCTGCCAGTTTATAAGCAGGTATAGATAGAAGTGTGAATTAATTGTTTTTAAGTTGGTATAAATATATATATTGCTCTAATACACCCCACAGGATACTCAAATTCTGTCTAATGTGGGCTCCATGGGAATCTTGGGTTATTATCCTGATTGGCAGAATAGAAAAGGCCTAAGAATAGGAACATACAGTATTTTAGTTTGCTTCATTTGTTTTATATTGTTTTAATTTTCAAAATGAGTGTGATTTTGAGTTTTGTGGTTATATTATCCCTCTTGGAGAGAGGTCAATATAAGGGTTTTTTTGGTTACTGGCTCAAGGATAAGCTGATTTGGGAGATAGGTTTTGTCTCTGCATTTTTAGAAAAGGTGATTGGTGTCTATACACCTTCCATAGTAATATGGATCAGATTTGATACAGGAAGACTCCCCACCCTCAGAGAACTAGATTCCAGAGAATCAAGCAAAAAAGTTATAACAATGATACTAAAATTTTGTTTTGAGATTTGTATATTACAGAATATACAGCCTTGGTGAGTCTCATCCTCAGACATGCTGAACTGACCTGCTTGAACTCCTGATGCCTTGAACTTTCAGCCAGATCCAGTCAGGAAACGGACATCAGAGACTAATACAATTGCAAGTGTGCCCTTCTTAAGGCTAAACAAATCCCCCATTTCCCTACCCTCTCTCCCACTTCAAAAATATCTCAACGCCCATATTCAGCTTGAAGAAGTTATGAAGAGTCATCATACCAGTTCCCTGGACTTTGGGGTTGAAGGTGGTTATTCTAAGTTTGTCTTTCTAGGGAATTTAGAAATGGTCATAACTGGAACAGGGAGAAATGGCTAGAATTGATTGTATAGCCATAATCTCATTTGGTAGAAATCTTTATAATTATTACTAGGTTGAAGTCATAGTTTCTTATTTTGGTACAGAATTTATTTTGATACAGAATCAAGGGTTTTTTTGGTATAAATTTCTTCTATTGATACAAAATTTTATAAGTGCAAGGCTTAGATCCAGTCCTTCTATAAATGCCATTATAAACTGATCTAGATGTTTAAGCATGTGAGTTAAGGGTGAAATAGCAAACTCATGGCTCTGAGTTTATTGTTAGGGTGTTTTCAAGATATTTAATTAGAAATAGCTGACAGTAGTTAACAGAGAACAGTCCAGATTACTTTACATAGATAATTGGTTTTCAAAAATGTCAGAAATCCACAGAATTTGACATTTAATATTATTTATTCACTTGTTGTTGAGATAAATCTGCTCCCAACAGCTTCCCGTTTGTGGATTAAAAGAAGCAACTGAGCATCTTACCTTTAGGTGAGGCTGTACATTGTGGCTAGGTGGCTACTGGGCAGAAATTGCCAATCTTTCCTGCAGACATGTACTGTTCTTGAAAGGACAATTTACAGGTTAGGACAGCTTAGTTCTGCCAAGACAGAATAGGCTAGTCCTTAATGATTCCTGTTTTTCAAAGGCCTGTCAGAAGGTCCTGAGCTAAAAGGCTGAAGACTGATGCTCTAACTTCCTGACTTATTGGGGCTGTATGAGTAGGCAGCTGTCTCTACAACTTGTCTCAGTTCTGGAAGGTGTAGTAGGCTTCATATATCTTCAGATAATGTTGATCATACTCAGATTTCTGACGTGGTTCAGAGACCTCTTATAGTCTCGTAGCCAACCCAGGCTATGTACATTGAGAGAAGAGATTTGAGAGGATGGTTTTCAGGTGGCATGCAATCTAAAGCCAGGATGTAAGAAAGGTATAAAATTATAAGTCTTTTAAGTTAGGATGCATGACAGTGTTCCATTTTATTGACAAAAATGATGGACTGGGTCTATCTTGTACTTTAAAAATTATAAAATGTTAATAATTGTGTTCAATTTATATCTGAGGTAAAAGAGTTTTTTTATGTGGACAGAAAGGGGGATGTTTTGTGAATGGTGCTGGTATTCTTTGTATTTTGGTGTTAATTCTACTGTCCTGGGAGGGGCTGCAGATGAGGAGTGAGTCACTTACTCAGGTGACTTGTGAACAATGCCCCAATGAATAAAGGAGATAATAACTGGGATAGTAGGAGGGACTTCCAGGTTGGACAGGGGAAGAGAGGAAGAGAAGAAAGGGGGAGGATCTTTTTTGGATGAGATAGCAATAGGGCAAGATGTACTACTACTAGTGACTTCCGGCTTATATGGTGAATTTGTCAGGGATTCACCACCAGAAGATTTAGATTCAATATGGCTTACAAGACTAGAATTCTAGTTGTTTTGCCCAGCGATTGAGTTACCATTGTTTCTGATCTAAGTTTGTGTGGTATTTTCCTTCAAGCTGCAGTTTCACTGGATTCAAGAGAGAAAGGTATGGCAGCAAAGTGTGGGGTTGCCAGATGTACAGCCAAAGGCTATAGGGGTTTTAAACAGGGGGCTGGTGTGGTAGCAACCCAAAAGTGGAAACTTAGTGAGCTGAGTGGAGAGATTTTGGAGCTCTAAGTCAGAGTCTCCATGAGATAAGAACCGGCTGGTGAGATTGCCGGGGTTGAGAGTAGCTGGGTATAGCGTGGGAAATTGGTGTTCTTTTTAAATATTTCCTGCAACATATGGGAAACTAATGCTGTCATATGTCAGGGAATCATAATTAATGACAAAGGATTCATTTTATATTTTGTTTCTATTAATTGACTTCAAACAAAGTAACCTGTTCAACACATTCATTAAATTGATCAAATATTCCACTTTTTAACTTGATACCTACCTATGAGTGCTCATGTCCACCAGCACCAGCAGGACCAATGTTCATAGATGTCAAGGTCACACAGCTTCAACACAATTCCCAGCACCAACATTTACAAACTCTCCATGTGTGACTCTCCATGAGTTCTTAACATTATAGCTGTCTTCTCAGACAAAACCATGGTAATCTAGTGTCTTCATGGAGGGCTGTTGTGAACTTTGACTGAGATAATTCACATTTTCTGTTACCTCTTGTTCTCAGGAAATTTAACCCACACAATTACCTGTTAGTTCAGTCCTGTTCTCTTGAGCAGCCACACGGCATATTGGTGGGTTTTGCACTAGGAACCTCACTAGTAAATGAGAAAAACACACAGAGTGGATGAAATGGTGAAATGAATAGTAGAAAGGATATTCTATTTCTCACTTCAGGCAACAGGGTTATTTCAACAAATCTGAACTTCTGGACTGAGGATAAAATATCAGCAAACTAAATTAAGGGACAAGTTCTGAGACAGGGTATATGAACAAGTAAAGCACAGACCATGTGAAGTCACAAGGCTCTTAGGTTGCATATGGTTCTGCTTGACAAATCAACCTGTGGGCATGGTTGAATCAGTTGTTCACAGTCACCCCTGAGCTTGCTCATCTGCAATCGCAACCACCCCAAGACAAGGTTTAGCAGGCATGTCAGAAGCAGACACTAACATGGGCACTTTTGGGTTTCTTTATTATTGTCATCTTTCTGTAAGAATGTGACTTTTACATTTTATAGTTCAAGATACACATATGTTACATCCTGTAATGGCTTCATGAAAAATTAAGAAGCATTGAAGAATGTGACGTTATAGTAGAAAGCTCAGGAGCTTGTCCTGTAACATTATATGGCATTGACCTTAGCTTAGGCTTGAGGTGGCCAAGTGCTATAAAGAGGACTAATGTTTATGTGGGAAAATTATGAAGCAAAAGCTTTTGCCTCACTTACCTAAGACACTGAGTCCAATCAGGCTCAAGAGAAGAAGTATTAGCCCAGCACAGCCAAATTTCAGAGCCAAATGATGCCAGTGTGGGCACCGACATCCACCTAAAAAGTGCAAAGAGTACACTTGTTAAGTCCAATTGAGAACTTCTGAGATAAAGATTAGAGGGGTTCATAGCTACCATAAGATCTCCCATAACTACAAGGACTGGAGAGAGAGAGAGAGAGAGAGAGAGAGAGAGAGAGAGAGAGAGAGAGAGAGAGATTTCTATTTTAACTTAGTCCATGATATATCTGGTAGTTAGAACTTTCACAATTTGATGCATGACAGTATAAACATTTTTTTCCAATTAAATGGAGTACCTTGTATTCTCACCTTTTATTTAAAGGAATGAATTATTGCTTCTCTTTGGCATAAGTGGGCTGTCAGTATCTCTACTTTTATAATATGGGTCCATCACTGATTACTGAATGTTCCTGGGACACAGCACTGGGGATTAATGAGTCACATCTTAAGCTAGATGCCATGATATCTCATCATTGCTTCTCAGGGCAGTGCCCAGCTTAAAACACTGAATTACTTATCACTACAATTTTATAGTTAGTCATTTAAACTCACTGTTGAATGAAAGTAATAAAAGCTACAGACACTAAAATGGCAAATAAAGAGTACTGAGGTATAACGTGACATATACTATGTCTATAGAAGTTATGGAAGTCCAATTATATAACATTGTGGGAGTCTCTGTGATTACCACAGTTAGTGGTGTATGAGCTGCCAGAGGTAATAGGCAGTTAAGTTCAGCATGACTGCGTAGCAGGTGTTGGTTCAAACTTCAGGAGTCTGACCCCAAATAGTGTCTTTTAGGCATTTTGAAGCACAACAATTTGGTAAAAACTTCTTTGGTGATAACTAACCCAATCCTTTGCACACAATATAACTTAAGACTTGACTTCTTTGTAATTATATGTGATATCTTCCATAAAGATAAACTTTATAGCTTGAGAAGCTCACTATACTGGTTTGGGAGATGATTCAGTGTAGTCTCAGCCATATAGATATAGCAAGAGTTACCAGAGTATTAACTATGTATAATCTCAGATTACACATCTCTTCTTTAAAGGAACAACCCTTTGTGTTTAACATTCCTGTTTCATCTAGTGCTTATCTGTGAGCACAAGGCCCTCCATGTCTCCTACATAACATGGCACACACACCATATCTACCACTCTGCACTGCCTAAACACTGTGCTTGATATCTCTGCCTTCTTTGTTAATTCTATCAACAATGGATGACTTATGTTTATTAAACAGCAAAATGTACTGATTTTTGAAGTACGGTCATCAAGTATCATATCTTTGTCTACTTAACTTGATTCTAAACAATTAAAAAATATGGGTTTCATATGGGAAACAAAGGTAGTTTTGTTTCTAAAGATAATGAGAAACATTAGCTGGCTCTTCCATCTCTAATTTAATTAAAATTTTTTGCCCTCATTTAATTTCTAACAGTTCCATGTCTTACCATTTTATGAATGGTTTCTAGATTTTTTTTATTAGAACCAAGCACGGTACCATTTTAAGCAAAGATTTCTTACTGCTTTTTGTTTTGCTTTGTTCAGTTTCTGAGATTGCTTTTCCTATAGCATAGGCTAGACCCGAACTTAATCTTAACTAATTAAGGATTAAGGATGCCCTTGAACTTTTGATCTCCTTGTCTGCTCTTCCTAAGTACTAGAGTCACAGCTGTGTCCCACCATATGTAGCTATGGTTTCTAAATTTCTACAAATATGGATTATTCCTGGTTTTGTTAGTTTCCTGTTGCTTGTAAATATTTCCTGGTATAAATGATAGCATGCTTTGAGTTACATGTTAAAATATTAAACCAGATATGCTTAAAACTATTCTTAATTTTTCATAGTATTGTCCAGAATTGCCTGTGTATCCATTTCACTTTTTTTTTTTGGCATTATCTTTGGTGCCTGAATTGTATAATTGAGAATGCAAACACTACAAGACTGTAGACCAGTTTTAGGATGCTGACAAATAATCATTAAGAAAGCTAAATTATTTTAAAATGTTCTTGGAAAAAACAATAGAATTCAAGTGAATCAGAGAGAATATAAATACTCCTGAGAGATAAGAGACAGCTTCCCTCAGCCTTACGGTCCCTCCATATCTGAAGACTCAGTTCACTGCTGACTAAAACTTATCATATATAAAAAGAATGCAACTATTAAACACATATAGATTTACCCATCACATTCGCTAGAGAAATATTTATAACAGCTATTTGTATGACACTGAGATCATCTTAGACACTGTGGTTAATCTGGAGATTATCTAAAGCACAGAGATATGCACATAGGTCTTGTGTAAATACCATATTTTATAGAAGTAATAATCTTATATGTGGCAGTTCTGCAAGCAGTCTTTTGTGAACAGAGAACAATGCTGTGTGGTCTGAGGTGACATAAGACTGTCATGGAAGAAAATGGTGCATTGCTTTTAAGAAATAGGACCATGTGGACTGTGATTCCTGCTGTGGACCATGGACTGTAAGACACATTGTGTTGCTGGACAAGAAGGCAAAAATGGACACACACACAGACACACAGACACACACACACACACACACACACACACACAAAGCCTCCAAGGCTCCAAAGACACACTGAATATAAGAACAATTTATTTATATTAGCCTTGAACTTCTTCTGAACACTCAGGTGACACAGAGTGACTAAGCCCAGTTAATAAACACTTTTCTCATTTTTATGTGTGTGCATTATTTTATGTTTCTCTCTTTTCTCACTCTTTCCACCCTTGAAATACTATTTTAAATAGTATTATCCTCATAAGTCACTATTTTTATGCCTTTTACTAAAGCCTAGTATTCAGAACCATTATATTTCAAAATTATCACAATATAATGTAATATAATGTGGTATAATACAATATTGGGGGCAATATGTTTAACCTTCATAAACCATAAGTTTCTTCATCTGTAAAATGACTGGGAAATATCTACTTCATAAACTTTTAGGATCTATGAAACAATTCTTATAAATTTAAAAACATGGTGTCTGCTACAAAGTACCATTCAATACACAGTAATGCTTCCTCATTTTCCCTCCCCCTCCCAAGTGATGCTTTTTTTTTTTTTTGTAAAACTGAAAGTAAAAAAGTAAAAGCTTATTTGGGTGATTTTAGAAACCACTATTCCTTCACAGATATAAGGAACTACATAGGCATCCTGTCCTGTCTGAGCTGTTCTGGAAGAGATTAGACCGAAGGGAACAGCCATTGATCACTGAAGAGGCCATGTGAGCTTTAGTTATGTGGAAGTAACTACTTCAGGCATTTTGGGTATCCACAGAATGGTAAGTCATCCCCATTGTCCAGATATTTCAATGGTTTACCCCTGAAGTTGTTCTGAACCCATGGAATGTCTTCCAAATCCCTTTCCACCTGTCACCATTCCCCCTGACTTGATCTCCACAATACACTGAGCACTTGTGTTCCCCTACAACACCACAGACATGCTCTCCCTTTGTATTTGCAGGTCCAGCTTCTGAGAAGACTCATCTCTCAGATACTTATTCTTGATCCCCTGGACCTTTCATGGTTGGACTCCAGCATCATCTCTCAGAAGGCCTGCCTGGATGACTCTCTCTGCTGTTGTCTCTAATGTCAAAACATCTTTCAATTTAAATGTTTTCCTTGCCGTTATTCACCATCACACAATCTCTGATGCAGGTGTTTAATGATTGCACATATACACATTCATAGAAACCCTATAAGGAAAAGATGTTCACATTTGTTTAAACCTGGATCTTATCATCTTGAAAAATACTGACACACAGTGGGGTGATCATATCTGAATGAATGAATGAATGAATGAATGAATGAATGAATGAGCTTTGTATATATTCTATCCATTCTATCATCAAAGAAAACTTTTTCTCATTTGGTCAAAAAGCAGGCCACTGTTCATGTTTCTCTTTCTATGCTTGTTTGTTTGTTTACTGGGAGATCTAATGCCTATGCTGTGAATTTCCCACAGTTGGAGCCATCTAGTTCATGGGTGCAGGTTGGGTCAGTTCCTTCACTACTGGGTCACAAGCCACGATGGCTTTATTCTACTAATTTTGTCCTTCAGGTTCACATTCAAGCTGATGTCTGTAGGAAAATGATCAAAATAAGGGTAGACAAATGTTCTAGTCTCTTTTGATTTGGGATCATGGACAGTAGTGTTGAGAAAATTGCATTGTCCTTTCTCAACCTTCATTTTCTTACTTCCATTTCAACAAGCCCCTCCCCTATCTTGCTAAGTAGGAACACAAGCAGAAGGAAACACGCTTCTTTCTATCACATCAGCTCACTTGGATCATTATAACAGTATAAAAGCCTCTACTTTCTCCTGACCCTGACATGAAGATGAAGCTGATATAATGACTCTAAGATGTTTTCCTGATTTTACCATTTACAATGTAATAGTTCCTCACCGAAATCCCTTAAAATCCTCTTGAGTATTACCTCAATCTTACAAATTATTTCACTAAGATTACTAAACTCTCTAGCAGAAAAGAGGACTGATTCTCCCTAATGCTAAATGCTAGGGATACAACTACAGTAAAATTGAACCAGAGAGTCTGTTCTGTACCAGGATGTGGAATGAGCGAGCTATTACAGCACATTGGCAGTATCTCTAATAATGTTCTGCTGCTCATATTTGTAACACATTGTTTCTTCAGGGATTTTTAAACTAAGGCTGAGTAGGACAAGTCATGCTCATGTTTCTTGAAGATTATTTGAATAAAAGGCGATGTGTGAGCTTCATCTCTCTGAAGCTGTAGATATCTGCAGGCAAGCTGTCCTACATCATCAACACCAACAGAACCAACCACTGCTTAACAGCAAAGTCTAATTAATTTCTAATTAATTAGAGTGTCTGTATGTGAGTGTGAGAAAGAGAGAGAGAGACAGAGAGAGAGACAGAGAGAAAGAGAGTCAGAGACAGACAGAGAGTGTGTGTTTGATAGTACAGATGTGTGTCTATTTGTGACTGCAGGTGTGTGATATAAAAGTGTGTCTGTGTGTGACAGAGGATTGTGTGTATGTGGCTGCAAGTGTGTGCGTGTGTGAGTGCATGTGTGTATAAGAGTGTTTCATGACTTGTAGGTATGTGTCTATTTTTCTGTAATTGCAGGTATGAGATATGGGGTGTGAGTGTGTGTGTTTGTGTGTGTGTGTACGTGTGTGTGACTGCATCTGTGTGACTACAGGTGGGTTCGTACTATAGTAGGTGTAGAGATCAGAGAACAACTTTAGGAAGTGATTCTCTTTCCAGTAAAATCAGTGGGAATTGTCAGTATTCCTACTTCCATTTCAACAAGCCCTCTCCCCTACTTTTGCTCCAGTTGTCAGGTTTGTGCAGCAAGTGCTTTTACCTAATGAGTCATTTCATCTCAAAGTAATTGCTTACAACTGTAAAGTAACAGGGGGGGCTTATATCTAGAATATACGCAAATTCCAAAACAATAAATAAAGTCACTTACCTGGGGGGAGAGATGGGGATGATGCTTGCTTATACCCTGGAGACCTAAATGTCTTTACATTGCTGTAGACTCTTGATGTGTCCATTGTAGACAGGAAATGGGAACTATGAACAGTGACAAATTCTAAGTTCTGAGAAGCAAAATTAACAAAAGGAAGTCTGCTGTATTACTCTGCTGTCTGTGTTCACAGCCACCCACACTTGCATCTGAGGGTTTCTCTGTAGTTATTGCACTTGGTTTCCCTTATGCCCACACAATTTAAATAACTTTACCTTTGAAACAGAAGATGTAACACATAATCTGCTCTGGATGGTTTTATTTTCTTCTTCTTTAACTACCTGCTTTGAGTCACTCTTTCAAGGCCCAGGGCAAACAAAGCACTCAATCTTGAACTAAATTTTGAGGATCCTGTCCCAGAATCATTCTGTGGCATGTTGTGAAAATAAAACTATGAGAAAGTCCCTGGTGCCATTTTATAGGAATGGAATCTCTAACATCCTCCTGAAACATCCAAGCCACGAGAGAAACTGTGCTATGTGGAAATAATATAAATGGGGTTTTAAAACAAAACAAACAGAAAAAAAACATGACCACCAGCTACTGCACAGTAACGTAGCAATTGTTACACAGATAAAAAGAAAATCATCCTGACAATGCACTCCTGGAGAATTTAGCTGTGCCAAAGAGCTAATGATGTCCTTTGATTATCTACCTGATGGCCAGAAATGTGTGTATGTTTGTGTATATATATATATATATATATATATATATATAGTATAGTATAAGTGTATATATGTATGTGTGTATATATATGATATATATATGATATTTATATTGTATATAGTGTATATATGTGTGCATATATATAAAATGAGAATCCAAAATTACCTTGATCTTGTCATAATAAAACAGAGAGAGAGAGAGAGAGAGAGAGAGAGAGGCGCAGATAGCATGGGAGAAAGATTGAAATGTGGTGTTGCATACAAATAAAAAGATATTAAATCAAAGTCAAATGGTGAGTGATTGTAAATTATCCAGTGTTTTAGAGTACGGCAAAGTGTCTCAAGAAGAAATAAACACATATCCAGCACAGCATGGCAGAATCTTACCCTGATGTGGCCACTCCCCTTCTGGTGCGTGGAGTCTGAAGATCTTAACGTGTGTGCTGTTTTGGAGGAATTCTGTTGGGTTATCACCACCCAGCAGCCTGGCTGGACTGATGGCTGATGTTTTATAGAATTGGATACAGGGATGGACCAGGAGGAATGACTGATAATATTTTTATTTGAATGTCACACATCCAACTCTCTCATGTCTCCCTAAGGAGAATACAGAATACAGACCAATTAGGAATTCTTCCTGGCCTAGAGTCAGTTTGTCAGACGCAGATTCTGCTCATTTGCTAGGAGGAAATAGACCTCAGTGGAGCTCTGACTTCTTCAGTGGCCTCAAAGGCTACTGTAACACTTCCTGATGAAAACATCCTCCCAATTATTGGCGCTATGGGCTAAAACTGAGGAAATGTTACAATGTATTTCTTGCCTTGAAAATCTAGGGATCCAGTGTCAAAGCTGTTGGGCAGACATGCTTAGTGTCAGTCAAGCCCTCAGGCACAGCGTCCAGGCAGGAAGCTCACTTAGGAGGTAAGAAACCAGAGCTCTTGCTGGTGTTTCTGAACTCTGGCCAGGACAGAACCAAAGACATTTCCTGTTTCAATGAGAATGAGCACTGTCCACCTTTGGGACCTCTACTTCTAACTCTGCTTGCCCTATTTTGTCTCCTGCCTTAACAGTGTAAGCTTTGATTCTGTGTCTCAACTTTTCCTTACTTTAAACTGAGGCTCGCTGTTGTCTTGGAGTTTGGTTGAAAATTAACAAATGCAGCAGTAAAAGTCAGCTGGAGCTTCCCTTGTTTTTTTTTGAGACACGCCTTTTCTGTATAGCTGTGGCTATCCTGGAATTCAATTTGTAGACCAGGCTGACCTTGAAATCAGAGATCCAACTTCTTCTGCCTTTTGAGTTCTAGGATGAAATGCATGTGCCACCATGCCCAGCTAGAGACTTTTATAATGTAATTTTTATTCAGTAAAATTAGTTCATTTCTTCCATATGTCCATGAATTTTGAGAATATGTATAATCACATTCACATCAAGATATAGACCCAGACCCTTCTGTAGACACTCCTTTCCTCTGTACCCAGCCCACGACACTCTTCTCTTTATGCTCTTACTCACTTGCTTTTCAAGAACACCATGGAGATGGATCCCTGCAGTAGGAATGCAACTAAGAGACACCCACAGTGCACTCAGCAGCTGTGTGTCAAATAGCAACACATCTGGATTTGGTAAAAGATTCCAGAGCAGGAGAGATGTGAGACACAAGCTGCGATTGCACAAGACCAGTCTCAAACCCTAAAAGAAAGACATTGTTGCAAACAGGTCAGGGAAAACTAACAGGAAACTGGTGGGTAACGTGTGAGCCAAAAGAGAACAGGATGCTGGCCAGTAGAATTTCCCAGCAGAAAAACCACTGCTCTGTGGTCAGATTCTCTAAAGTGTAAGGGGATGTGTAGGCATAAATTTTTTACAACCTACTTTTAATAAGCTTTCAGTCTCTCCTCTAGCCCACCACACGGCAGAGGTAGTGAACAGAAAAGTTATTAGGATATGGCGGAAGCGGACCTGTTCAACAGAAGTTCTTTGGGGGCAAGCTCGATCTTCTTTGTGAGTTCAGTCCCGTAGCAAACATCAAGTAAGATTCAGCAACTTCAGACCAATCCTCTAGGTAGGCAGACACCAGGCATGAACCAGCAGCAACTGTTCAGTCCTTTCAGCAAGCAGAAACCAGGCATCTATAGTTCACTTATGAAGAAACCACCAGGCTCACTAAGCGGCCTGAGGCAAGGCCACAGAAGCAGCAAGCTACTGCAGGAAACTCACCAGCAGTTCTTGGGTGAGCGTCTCTCAACGGCAGTGTTACCACAAGTTGAATTCAACAACTCTATGTAAGGTGAACCAATACATGCATGTCTTTAGTGAAGAAGAACGAGGCAGAGCAAACTGAACCAATGCTCAGCACTCGTCTCCCATTGTCTTTGGGGTCATATTTATACTCCTTCATCCCAGGTCTTTTCATGTGTTCACTAAATCAAAACATCCTTTCACCTGTGCCTGCTTCCAGAAAGCATTCTTTCACATGTTTGCTTTAGCAATACATCCTTTCAATTGTGTATCCCAGCAAAACATCATTTTACATACTAAACTTCCAAAGAAACTAGGAGTTTCCACTTCAGAAGCTGGTGAGTTTTTGTTATTGTTTTGATTTGGATGGGGATGGTGATGGTGTGTGGATGTCACACACATGCCGTGGCCCCCATTTAGAAGTGAGGACAATTATATGTAGTTGTTTCTCTGTTCCTACTTTTGTGTGAATTCATGGACTGGACTCAGGTCACCAGGCTTAAATAGCAAGCACCTTTACCCACAGAGCTGTCTTGCTGGTCCAAGGATAATTGAGATGGCAAAGAAATACTTTAGGGATAACTTGAGGTGACCAGCAAGTCCTAGTTTAGGGACCTCTGGGAACAGAAAGCTGAGGAACATCTAATCAGCAGAAGATATGAACAGGTGCAAGTATGACATCCAGTTTTCCCTTTTCAATCATTTTCCCTAGAGTTAGGTAATGTTGGTTTGCTCTGTCACAAACTTAGGAATATTTGAGTTTTTGCAAAATACAAGGTTTAATTCACAGAGCTGCTGTAAACACAGGCAGGTCTCTTAAGCAAACACAGTCAATTCCCTTGTGAGTAGGAGGACCAGGGCTTATAGTAAAAGTAATCTCCTTTTCCCAAAAATGCTAAACTGCTTTTCTCTATTTCACCCTATGCTTAGTAACATTTGGGCATGTTTAATGTATGTATTTACCATGCATGTATCATTTTTGTTCAATTTTTGGATCAGTTTTTAAAATGAGTATGTGTTTATAATGTGTATATATTTTATTAGGTGTGTATGCATGTGCACTGTAGAGTGGTCAAAGTGGACACTTCTTAGGTTAAGAAAGGATGATATTTTTCTGCATAGGATGCTAAGACAATTGGTTCCTATGGTGAAGCATCTCAAGGTAATAGATAAGCTCACACCTCGTCCTGTGTACAATTGAATCAAAATGGGTCACAAACACAAACATGAAGCCTATAAATTTAAACCTACTAGAAAGGTTAAAAAATAAATTTGTGAGTGAGAGTTTCTCTTAGGCAAAGATTTTTTTTTGGTTATAATATCAAAAGTTTTATCTATGCACCAAAAATACATTGAGACTAGTGTAAAGTAAACTCCCTCCTCTGGTCTCTGTAATAGAATAAAAATTAAGATAAAAAAATGAACTGGCAGTTTCTCTCTCTCTCTCTCTCTCTCTCTCTCTCTCTCTCTCTCTCTCTCTCTCTCTCTGTGTGTGTGTGTGTGTATGTGTGTGTGTGTATAGGAAATTGTACCTACAACATACTGAGTTGTGTAAAAACCCAATGGTAGGCACTAGATAACTGTCTCAGAGGTTAAGAGTACAGGTTACTCTCCCAGCCACTGGTTGTGAACATCTTTCATTATGTATAATTGTGTGTTTGGCAGTGCTGGGAGAGCTGCTTTCCTTATACATGAGTTTCCATTTGGCAATTGCTAACATGGAAAATGAAAACTACATTGTGCATTGACATTGTGCCCTGTAGCACTGTAAACTCATCCATTACTTTCAGAGCTCTTTTTAATAGACTCCTTAGAACGTTTGATATTGATATATCCGTGTTGTCTGAATAGCAACACACTTATCTCTCTTTATGAGGCCTGACCGTTATTTCTTTTTCTTGACCTATTGTCCTGGCTAGGACCCTCAGAGTCACACTAGAAGGGTGGACAGACATTTTTACCTTACTCTGGGTCACTGGGGAGAAAACATTCATGCTGGCTGTATTTGGCTCTTTGTTTTGGCTAATCATAGATACTGCTTGTCAGGTTGACGAAGTTCCTTTCATTCCTAACATGTTGAAAGTTCTTGCTGTCAGTTTATGTTCAATTTTGCACATGGTTTTGTTTGTTTGTTTGTTTTTTGTTTTTTGTTTTTCGAGACAGGGTTTCTCTGTATAGCCCTGGCTATCCTGGAACTCATTCTGTAGACCAGGCTGGCCTCGAACTCAGAAATCTGCCTGCCTCTGCCTCCCAAGTGCCACTGCCCGACTTGCACATGCTTTTTTGCTGATATTATTGAAATGCTCATTTTTGTTTTCTTATTTTGTTACTAGGTTGAATGACATTTAGTTTGTTCATTACAGTTAGATAATAGATATATATAGATGATGGATAATAGGTAGATACAAAGATAGACAGATAAATATATAGATGTGTGGATGGATAAAACATGCTATAATATAGACTATCGATACTTCAAACTCAATATTTAGCTAAGAATGACCTTGAGCCCATGACTCTCCTGCCTCTGTCTCCAATGCTGGATAATGGGGGTATGTGACACCACATGTCACATAGTGATATGGGATTTTTTTTTCATTATCACTATGGTCCTTCCTTTCATTAACATTATGATCCCTTCAGTCCTAACCAAGTCTATTCTTATGAAACTGAATCTATAAATAATAATAACTTTGTTGTTGTTATTGATTCTTGTCAAGTGTGATCCTCACTCTTTCTATTTCTAGCTCTTTCGATGTCTCTATCTCAAGGAAGACTCCGTTACACGAAATTTTGCTTCCATTTCCTCTGTGCTTCTGTGAACCAATAATATCATTACAGGCAAGGACTTTCAGTAACAGGGGCTTGCCCTAGGGGAGCACAAGACAGATCTTTGTATAATTCTGGGATAAATGTATCTTTTTCTCTAAAATGTTTTTGAGATTGATGTTCTCATTATATTTTCAGGTAAAATGCTCCAAGGAAAATGTCTCAGAATTGTCTCCCTGAGTCTCATGTTAGGCTTTACTGCTGCTATGGAGTGATCATGGTCCTCACTGTAGCGGTCACTGCTCTTTCTGTTGCTTTGTCAGGTAAGTGACTTACTCTCTAAATTCTGCAGCATTCTGTCCACATTCATACTGTCAGTTATGCTATTGACCTCTGTGAGCCAGGCATTGTGGGAAGGGCTGTAGAGAAAACACATTGTAAGTTCCTGTTCTCTGGGAAGTTAGGTTCCA